CCCCAAAACCCCAAAACCCCAAAACCCCAAAACCCCAAAACCCCAGCTTGATGGAGACCTTCAGAATATATAAAAAAGTAACAAAATTATAAATATGGAGAAAGGATTCACGATGAAAATTAAGGAACACTAGTTAGGGTAACAGTTCAATTTAGAATTAAAGCTAAGTAATTATCTTTATTTTGTCAAGTTGGTTCTCTGCAAATATTTCTTGGGCTTCTTCATTCTTTATTCTACAGCTTTCAATTCTAACTGTTGTGAGGTTTAGTCTTAAATCTGGAGAACTAGCTAGTCCTTGCACAAGGTTCTTGAACTCTTTGAGATTGTTTTTCCAATCGCTTTTAAAGGGACCTCCTGTTTCAGATAAATTAAGGTCTTGGATCTGGCAATTTTTAAGTGCTTTTGAGAAATCAGGAACAGTTGGGATAGATAATTTGCAATTTTGTAATCCCAAACATTTCACATGTTTGTAAGATGCCATTAGCCTTTTTAGTTGAGGAAGATTCAGTTTGAAATAAAAGAAAATTACATGTTTGATGATTCTTGGGCCAAGTCTCATTAAGGAATTAAAGTAAAAACCAATATTCGTTTCCATTTGATAATGGAGGGGAATTAAAAGAAAATTAACTTTACTTGGAAATGAGGAATCAAGGAATTTTAAAATATCCTTATTCTCATGCTTGATAGCAAACAGGTAAATGTTATATATATTAAAGATCTTTAAAGGGCATATCTTTTGAGTCAATTCCAAACATTTAAGATCTGTAAAGAAAAATTTTAAGCCTCCATGTATACATTCTTTCAAAGAGTCTGGCCATCCATGATAAGGTCTAAATTCTTCTCCTAGGATGTGAGAATAAACACTGCAAAATGCCCTAGAGTCTTGCTTCATGCTCTTGGTCAGTATCGATTGCTCTAGACTACATAATTAGCGAGGATAAAGGAGCAGAATTCATTTTAGAATTTATCAGGAAGTTTTGAAATTATATTGATGGTATTCTTTTAAAGATTCAGAAGTAATTGTAATGATAGAGTTTGGCTATAACAAGCAATCAATGAGGAAAGCATACAGAGTAATGTAAGAAACTAAACTTTCAACACCCATCCAGTCTCAAGATCAATCTTAACCCCAGGATTTTAGGAATAAAATCAGTGTAAAGAGTGTCACACTAGAGTGATAAAGGTTTCCATTCGTTTAAAATACGAAGATAGTATCTCCCATGTACTAAAAAATCTCAAAATAAGAGTAGCCTTTACCATATTTCGTTGAATAAAGTTTGGATCAGACTAAATCTCATAATTTTAGCTATATTTTGTCAAATATACTCTGACATCTCTCTTCCAAAACTCTCAGATATAAATTGTTGTAGAGGCTCAACTCTTCTCCAAATTACCTGATCAATTTGCTGCTCTTTACTTCGGTGGTGGGAACTTCGCTTTCCATTTTATTATTATATTTCAATTTATTTTCAATATTTTAACAGAGGTCTGGGGTTTTGGGGTTTTGGGGTTTTGGGGTTTTGGGG